CTCCCAGGGCAGGGGAGCCGGGTTCGATCCCTGGTCAGGGAACTAGATCCCATGTGCCGCAACTAAGACCCAGCGCAGCCAAATAAATAAATAAATATTAAAAAAATAAATAAAGTAAAGAGTTACTTATTTGTAAGAATTCCAGAGAGATTGTAAAATCTCTGCATCTCACTCTCGGGGTGTAGATCAATGCAGCAGCATTATAATCAAGTGGATTGCTTGGCCAGACGTACATACTGTGGTTAGAAAATCTAAAAATAAATTGATTTTTACCCAGGCTTTACAAACGACGCTCAATTTCTTCTTCCTTGCATAGAGTTAAGCAGTTTGTGTATACAGCTACTCTTACAATGTTTATTAATTCTGATAACAGTAACATAACATTCGGTTGCATCTCAAGAATTCCTATAAAGCTATTCTGTCCTCATCAAAGAGGATAAATTACCTCTGCCTGTGGCAGAGGTACCTGCATGTAAATAGTACAGTTCTAATTGTCACAGTAGAATCCCATTTCTCTCTGAGTAATAAACTTACGCTGAAGTGAAGGCCAAGTCTCAACACCCCCGATAGCATGCATGGGAACACTCCACTTATTGGAGCAGTCTTCCCAGTGTCCCATATGCAGTGGGTTAAGTATGTAAGTTATAACATCGTGCAAAATCCTGTGTATTCATACACTCCAGTGCTGGGTTTCTGGAAGTCTGATATATGTGTGTACCGTGCTAGTAAGTAGTTGGTGGGCATGGCATTAAATGACACTAAGGAGGAAGTGACTTTCTCACCACACCTTTGAATCTTTCAAGTCTTCATTAAGAAGGTCAGAGTTAGGAGGTGGTTTTATTCTCTGGAACTCCAAGCTTCTCAAACCTTGGTCCTCTTATCAGTGACATCTGCATCACAAATGAGGTTATTAGAAATGCAGAGTTGCAAACCCCACCCTAGATTTACTAAATCAGAACCTGCATTTCAGAAAGATTTCGAGGATTTGTATGCACGTTAAAGTTTGAGAAGTACCACCTAGGGCTATTCTGGAGGTGACTCTTGGCTTAACCAGAGCTGATTGTTAAATTTTCTCAAACTGCCAGACCTGGTTAGTGGTCACATTGAAAACTTGAAATTGGTCACGGTGGAAGTACTTCTATCATGGAAATCAAAACTCAGGGATTCTTTTTTCTTTTAGAGAGCCACGTGCTAAATATTTAACTGCACACCCTTGCCTCTAAGTGTTGCTGGTCTTCCTTTTTAACAGAGAGATGACCTCAGGCTCTGACAGTATTTAGTTAAGTGAAAATTAAACATCATTTAAAATGCCAATCTCATTGTGCTTCAGTTTGCTGTCTCCCATACCCTCTCCACGGAATCGCACTTGTTTTTATTCCTCAAAGCTTTGGAAATCAAACATGCTCTTCTCTTCACAAAGAACTGGCAGAGAAGAGGGCACTGATTGGACTTGTACTCTGGAGACCATGATTAGGATGATTTGGTGGGTAGGGAGAAGATACCATGGCCATGGATTGGATGATGTGACAAGAAATGATTTACAACCACCCTAGGTACTGATTCATTCACAAATCCTGGATTAATGGTGGTTTCGTTCCTGTCCATTGATTGACTTAAATGTCCTTTTACACCTACTGCTCCCCCTGCCATTGGGTAATTCCTTCTCAACATTTAGATGACACTTCCTGCAGGAAGCCTTCTTTAAGGCAGTGAAGATGAGTGGCATACCTGTCACTCTGTACTACCCTAACCCTTCTCAGACTAAATAAAATATTCTAAATATCCATTTCTTAGTCTTTAACCATTAGACCCTTAGCTTCCTGAACATAAGAACTCTGATCTGCTTGCGTTCCTAGCCTTAGTGCCTGACCCACAGTATATGCTTATCAAATATTTATGTAATAAGAGAAGGGATTGTGGTGAGAAAGAATTTTGAAGTTAGATTACCTAGATTCAAACAGTGGTTTGCTCTTTTCTGGAGGTGTTCTTTGGGCAAGTCATTTAATTATTCTGCACCTCGGTTTTGAGCAAAACAGTACAAGGCATAGTAAGCTTTATCTAACTGTAAGATATTGTGTTAATGGATACTGTTGGGGGCTATGCATACATTCCTTTATTAATACCTTCATTCTAACTAGTGAAGCTATACTATTGTATCAGATTGTTTCAGGGTCTATCATTACTTTTTACCTGATTCTGGCGAGTTCAGGTAGGGCAGCAGTTGTGTCACATTCCATCCTGAGTGGTTTGGTGGCATTCCATCCACTTGGTGGCTTCCATCAAGGAAGTGTCTGTTAGGAGTTAAAATTGGGATTAAATTTCCTTATCCCCGAATCATTAACAACAGAGCAGATGCCAGAGAATACTTGCAGAGTATTTGGCGCAATTTAAAAATAACTGTCCATTCTAGCTTTTCTTAATTACTTTACCAAGATTATATTTTTTAATCTTCAAAATAAACCAGCTAGGTAGATATAATTCTAATTGTTGTTGTTGTTAATTGGCCCCCAATTATTGCAACTGATAAAGGTAGTTCCTTGACTGGAATTCAATCCCCACGCTGGCTGGTGTTAGAGAAAACTCTCACAACCATCTCACGGTTCTGCCTCTATAGCACTCAGGCCATTAGAAGATGGTCTACATGGCCTTTGAACATTCAGATATGGCCCAGCATGGAGCAGGGTGTGTTTGGAGAGAATAAGTCTCTTTTCCCTGAGAAGTGTTTAGGCAGAGCCTCTGTGAATAGAATGAGTGTCACCTTCTATCCAGTATGGTCCAGCCCTTCTCTCACCAGCATCACCCTCATCCTCCCACATCCCACCTTCAGGAAGGTTTTTGACTAACTTTGTGTGACTCTCGTACCCTGACTACACTACCCTTTCTGAGGAGGTCACACAGCTTTAACTCTTTGCTCCTTCATTTGACTTTTCTAACCAAAGGGTTGGTGTCAGGACCATCCTCCCAGTCTGGCTCAGGAAAACCACAAACACCGCAGCTTACTGAGTGCTTCCCATGTTCTGGCTGCTTCATGTGAGTCTTGTTTGTGAATCACCCTACTGCCTGGAAAGTAGGAATTATTATTATTGCCATTTTTCAGAAGAGAAATGCAAATTCTCAGAGAACTTAAGTAGTTCGTGCATTATTACAGAGACAGCATGTAGGGTGAGCTGGGATTCAAGCCCAGGCTTTTCTGCCTGTAAAACAGAGTCTGCCAAATAGTGTGACAGTCCTGTATCATCGTCCCTGCTCCATGTCTAGGAGAGCATGGCATGTGATGGTTGTGCTATAAATGCCGTTTAAGTGGATTGGCAATTCAGAGTGATATTAATATTTTGCGATTTCTTATCAAGACCTTTCAACTTTTGTTTTCAATTTGAAGCCTGCAAAGTTCTGCCCTCACGCTGGGATGAGAGAAGGCCTTAACTGTGAAATCTGCTTTTTATTTCCCTGCGTGTACTGCAATTCTAGGGAAAGTTGGGACGTTGTTCCGGACTCTGTTTGCTCTGAGTCGGTTGCCTATGGAAAGCTTGTCTTCCCTTTAGTTTCCAGAACAACTGCTGCTTGCAGTGACTCTCCTATGCACTTATCAGGGTGGGGCCTCTTTTGAGGTACAGAGAGAATCCAAGTGATTGAGCTGAGCCCAGGCAAAGAGTGACAAGCAGGGCGATTCCACTGACCATCTTGTTAGATCAGATCCTTCCTGTCTTTACAGCAGAATCTGGGTCTGCCCTTTTCAGCTAGCTTCACTAAGACCACTGACTAGCCCACCCAATGTAATGACATTCTTGCTTTCCCATTCTGAGCCAGAATGGAACCAGGGACCTACAGAGGAAAGGTTCCCTACCCCATTATGAATTCCCTGAGCCAAACTGTTCCCCATAGTGTCCTGAGGAATTATTTTCCCATTTAATCTAATTCAGCAAGGCTTCTCTCTGGGATACACAGTGGACATTATTTTTTTTTAAATAATTTTTTTGAGAGGGAAGAAACACGTTTTGCCATGCTGAAGGTAAGCAAAAAAATGTATTTGACACCTCAGGTAATGGGGATTTTTTTTTTTTTTGTCCATCCCTTTCTGAGTCTCTACAATTGAAAATTGTATTTTTACCGTATTTCATTCCCAAAGGAGCTTCTCATAATTTAAATCTCCTGTTCAACTGTACATTTGGAATGGGAGCCTTGACACCATCCTGATTATAACATACATGCTGGACATTACAGAATTTCTCTCCGGGAGCATTCTAATTTTATTCACTCTTTATTAGCATCCTGGCAGAGAGTTGCATTCTGCACCCTGAACTGGACAATCCCTTCTGATGGGTTGCGGCGGCTAAGACACTGAAAATTGGGGTCATTTCCCTTCCTGTTCTCATTTGTAATTTTTAAAAAAAATGTACCCATTACAGGCTAGTTTATTTACATAGTTCAGCCTAAAGTGAACTAGAACTTATTTTTAAACTGGGAGGGTGTAGAGGGGGCAGGGGAAGAGAAGGAAGGAAGGAAGGGAGAGATGGAGGGAGGAAGGAAAAGAAAGAGAGGAAGAAAGGAAGGAATGGGGAAGGAAGGAAGGAGGAAGGAGGCTTGCAATCTCTACAAGAGTACAAGAAAGTATTGGCAACACCCAAACTTGCATTACAACCAAAACGGCTGTAAGAAAAGAGAGAGTGGGAGTAATGGAGAGAGAAAAGGAAGTGAGGCAAGAAAGAAGAAAGGAAGGAAGGAAGGGAGGAAGGAAGGAAAGAAGCAAGGAGGGAAAAGAGAACTTGAAGTGGTTTTTGATAAGTAACATAGATACAAATATAACTACGAAAATTTAAATAAAGCTCACAATATAAAAAGACCTGTTAGCTTACTTGTTCTAATTCCTCAGGTCCACTTTCTTGACTCAAGGGTTTGGGAAATGCCTACTATTGTTCATGTATATGCTTTTGAAAACCAGTGATTTTGTTTTAAAACCTGTTGCAGTGGACCTTTATCTTTCTTCCTCCTTGTTTTTGCAGGAAATTTCAATGAGAAGAAAAGCCAATGGATCGTGGTCTTAGAAAAGCTGCTTAGATGATGTCTGTTTCCCGTGCTGTAAACACGTGGCAGAGCTGTGAGTAAATGCTCGTCACTGCATGATGAATTGGATGGCTGCAGACCAGAGGCAAACAAAATAATTGTCTCATTTTCGTGGTGATTTGCTTAACTGGGGGGACCATGCCAGAACGGCTAGCGGAAATGCTGTTGGATCTCTGGACTCCATTAATAATATTATGGATTACTCTTCCCCCTTGCATTTACACGGCTCCGATGAATCAGTCTCCAGTTTTAATGAGTGGATCCCCTTTGGAACTAAACAGGCTGAGTGAAGAACAGCGGATTTTGAACCGTTCCAAGAGAGGCTGGGTTTGGAATCAAATGTTCGTCCTGGAAGAGTTTTCTGGACCTGAACCGATCCTTGTTGGCCGGGTAAGCTTCGTTTTTAAGGTCCCAATTTTGGGATCTGTTATTGATCCCTAGACCTTTAACATTAGGCTTGTCACAGTTGTTGCCACACTTAGCTGTAAGTACTTTAGGCCAGATGGTTAGTTAGTTTACCTCTTGGTTCTTTAGGAATATGAATAATCCCATGGTAACAGATGTAAATGTAAACGAACTGCTCTTCTCTGGAAAGCTCTTCCTCCCCATCTCTCCCATCCTCCCCATCTATTATATCATAGCTTTAATATAACACTTGTGTAATGCATACACAAATAAGCTTTTTCGTTCTCATTTCACACAAGAAATCTGCATGCCAAACCTTTCCTGTAACTTATAGCGCTTGGAAGAGGTATGCATTTTTGCTCAGTCTGAATTTCTACCACCTGGATTCCTAAGATGTTATTTTGTTCCATTTTAGTTTGAGGCCATGTATCTCCAATTGCAGGTAGGTTTTTCTCCTTTTTATGTTTCTTTTTGTTGTTTGTTGGTTCGTTCAATTATTAACCTAGGATGGGGAAAGGGAAATTCTCAGAGTGGGTGCTTAGCAGTGCTTTGTACTTACTGTAATTCGGTAAATTTTGCAATAGGAAACTGTTGCATTCATTGTCAGATGGAATCAAATGTATAGAATCAAAATTTTAGCTTAGTGGTGTGCGTGTGTGCGCGCGCGTGCACGTGCATATATGTGTTAGACTGGATTTACATTTGTTTTGTTGCTGTTGGCAGGTTACACAAATGTTCCTTGTGTGGATAAGGGCTGCCTGCTTTTCAAAGTTTCACTGTGGGTTATTGAAGACTATACATGTTTATTCCTCAGAATCGCTCATAAGCTTCTGTTAATTTTAACACTCACCATCATCATAGGTAGAATTCCAATTACGAGCCTGCCAAGGACTGATTTTTCCTGATAAGTCAGATTCAGAAGTGAATCATGCCAATATTATGCGTTTCCCAAATGCAGTGATTTTAAAAAAGAATTAAATATTGATCTTCAAGACTTGAGTTAACACTTTGTGTCTCGCTAGGCACTTCTGATTCCATTCCCGCTTCTACCTCATTGTCTTGCAACGCAGATTGAGCCTCCCCAAGGATTATGCTTTTTCATTTCATGTAGTTCTACTTGGACAAGGGAAATCTGGATGAGGTGGTGTCATGAATCATTCAAAGAATATTTATTGAGCCAAATACCTTTTTAGGCATATGGGGGTATATCAATGAACGAAACACTGATCCCTGCCTTCAAGCAATTCACATTCTGGTTGATACTGTTTTGTATCGAGCACTCTCATAACGGCACTTTGTAGGCACAGTCCTGTTTGATTTTAGCAACAGCTCCCTCTGCCTCGCTCTTTATATGTATATGTGTATACGTGTGCATATGTACATATATACAAACAATACGTGTGTAAAACAGGTCTACATTCCTTTCTTTGTAAGTCCAAAATACAAAAAAAATATTTTTTTATATGCTTGATACACACTCAGGTAGCAGAACTGACTGGAGGCTATTTATAGTCGTAGTACATCCCATTACTGTGACTGTACGTATATTTCCCAGCAGAAATGTTACTGTGTTTGATTACAGGGTGCTCCCCCAGACTCTGCTGAAGGTTTTGTTTACTATACAGTTTATCTACCTTAATACATTTCTAAATGTGAAAACTTCTCAGTTCCAAAACATCTGACCCAGCGTGTTTTGAATAGGGGCTTCTTGACCACATTATCTTTTTTTGTTGTTGTTAAGTGCAAAAATTGAGGCTTAGGTGGGTTAATAAAGTAAACCGAGAGCGTAGAGCTAGTAAATGATCTGAATCTGAATCAGGTTGGGGATTCCCAAGGCCATAATTTTATCCACTGTATCCTATTACATCTTAGTGACTAGTTACCATGTATTTAAACTATAATTTGCACTTAAGAATTATTGAGTATAAAATGCAGAGTTCTTAAATTCCTACATTCTGGAAATTCAAAACTTCTTTAGCCAGCCCTAAGGCAAGGCGTTTTCATACCGTATGAAATTCTGGGTATACGGTACATGCACACATATATAATTGATGGATGTTTTCTCCCTGTTTCTATTAGTGAACTCTATGGAGGTCTGTCACACTGATGGTATCTTGTGTAATATAAACAAACTTGCTATCCTCAGAAGAACTTTCCATTTTTATCTGAATATAAAAAGTAATTAAATTGGGGTTTGTTTTAGACTCAGGCTCTAATGAGTAATTTTGCCTCCGTTCTTTAAATGTAGCAACAGAGAGAGAGGCAAACAAGGCGGCATTTACTGCCCCTTTTTGACTTAGTAATCCTTGAGAAATCCATGCCTCTTTGAACGACAGAAATGTTGCGAGTGAACCCTAGGATTTTGAAACGGCCAAAGTGATTCTCATCCTTGACGGCTGCTCTTCACATGGCCAATCCCCAAACGATTGTTAAATCTGAGTTAAACTTATTTCTGAAGAACTTTTTCTGCAAATATTTCCAATCATATGTATTTCCCCTTAAAGAAAATTGCTCCTGAATTATTACAGCTTGGCCTTTGAGGATCTTGAGTTGTAGCAAAGCCCAAAATGCATTTCGGGTGACTGCTGCCGATTATGAGTCAGGCCGAGTGTGGGGAGGATCCGTATCAGGGTGCCCACGGGTGCTTTACAATGTTTTATCTCTGTGCACGCTCTTCCACGACTGACTCTAAAGCACTTCATCGCTGAGCTTCTCCCCAGGAACTGGCTGAGAAGCATTAGTTACTTGTGAGCACGCCTGCTCTGTAAAAGGCCCTCTTGCGAGTCACCATGGTGGGAGCCTCGGGCCTGGCACACTGAGTTCAAGCTCAAGGGCAGAGGCAGCTTTTAAGTGATTGGCTCTTCAGAGCTTCACATATACCCTTACATCCTTTGTTGTCTGTTTTTACTATATTGGTAGGCAGCTAGATGCAGAGAAAGAACTAAGCCTTAGAGATGGACTCTGCAGAGGTTTGAATATTGGCTTTGCCACTTCCTGGATGTTTACCCTGGGAAAGTAACTAAAGGTCTTCAAGGGTTATCCAAATAAGATGAATACAAGTAGATAAGAATAATTTATGCACAGTGCCTGCACGTAGCAATTGTAGTCATGATTGTAGTCTTAATTGTGTGTGTGTGCATGTGTGTACTTGGAGAGATGGACAAACTGACAACTACATCACTAGGTGAGCACAGGACTCTGGGAGCCTAAAGAGGGGCCCTTTCAATGAGCCCAGGTTGCTTAGGATGGAGGTGATGTTTGATATTTCCGTGTGTCTTGAAGGGTAACTGTCACTCAGCTTGATGGCGTGGGGTGGAGTGGGAAGTTAGGTGCCCCTGCTGGATAGATTTCGGCTTATGCAACGTCATGGGAATAGGGTGGGATGACTGAGGGTCCCCTTGATCAGAAGTAGCGTAAGCCTCTATGTTTCTCAGTGAACTAAAATGAAGTTGAAATCTGTATTCTTACAGAGCCTTCTCTGCCCCATTCTGTCTAAAATATAAATGTCCCATCTCTGATATTTCATACCCTTTGACTGTGCTTTATTTTTTCTCCTTCCTGGTGATCACTGTCTCACATACTCCATACTTTATCATGTTTATGATTTGTCTCCTACTAGAATGTAAGTTCTACAAAGAAAAGGATTTTGTCTCCTTTGTTCTTCACCGAATATCCCCAGAACCTAGAACACTGCCTGCATATAGGGAGAGCTCATAAATATTTTGCATGAATAAGTGAATGAATAACTCACCTAAATAATGGAGGAATTTATAAAATAAGATAAACCCAATCAGCTTTAATACAAATAGCATTTTTCAGCCAAAGGGGCAGTACATTGCTGTCATGTTCTCCTTTTCAGTTGTTTATTTTAGAGACCTGCTGAGTAGTTTAAACATTGTTTCTATGTATTGATTTTAAAAGTCCTTCTTTGAGGTAGTAATAGTGATAAGTTAATTTGTTAAAACAAGTCTCCTTATGAAGGCTGCAGAGTCTTCTCCCTGGAGGCTGTCCCCCTTACTAGTGGCATGAAGCAATTCAGGCTGGGGATTCCATTATCTTCCAATTCTTCTGCAAACTTACATTTGTGCTTATGTCACAAACTAGACCAAAAATCTTTCTGAATTCTTGAAAAACAAACAGCAGCTAAACAGACTCCACTTCTGGCTCCGGCTCTCTGTGGTACAAGGTGGTCTGGAGCCCGTTTGTATACACACATAAATATTTAGATTTCTGCGTTGCCCAGGACCTCCTGTGTTGACTTTCTCTGGCAATTCTGGAAGAGAATAAGGTGGTACATGGGACCCTTCACCCTATATCCTTATTTGTCTGGTTTTGAAAAGGAAGAGAAGGAAAACCCATGGTGCTTTTCATAAGTCTTGTAACCAAGACAAAAATGTTGTCCTTGGGATGAAATGTGCATGGGTTCTTTAAGGCTGGCATCTTGATGCCATCATGAGAGCCCTTGGCTGTGAGTCAGGAGGGTGACCGATCAAGTCATTACACAAATATTTATCGGGCACCTACTATCTCTTAAGTGTTGTTACCAGTGGATTCTTAGTTCTGAGCAAACACAGATCCATGCCCTCTGTCATAATGGGCTACTAGGGGTAGACAGATGTTAAGAAAATAATCATAATGTGACATATGCCATGTTAAAACTGAGATAAGTACTCTGAAGTGAAGGAACATGGGTCTATGGAAGCTGGAAGCATATCGAGGAAGCTGGTCTATTTGGTGGGATGATGGAATCTTCCCTAAAGGAATCACCTGTGAGCTGAGATGCCAAAACCATGAACTAAGGTGCAGGGTTGAAAAAAGACAGCATTCCCACAGAGGACGTAGCATATGCACAGGACTATTTAAGGAGCTGAGAGAGGGTCAGAGTAACTGGAAGACAGAGAACTGGGGTTGAGATCTTTTGAATTAGGTAGAAAGATGGGCGAGGATCTCTTGGAAATCTGGCTTCTGTCTTTTTTCCCCTCGGC